CAAGAGTATTTCTCTTGTTGTCCATTTAGTATTACAATTACCTGTATGCGGGCTTAATTTAGTATAACTTTGAAAGGGAGAAGGAAAATTCTCCTGTTGATTTCTTCACTAACAGATAAAAGAGGGTTGAGCTCTCTCCGTCTTAGCACTGGAGTAAACAAGAATGACGCAAAGGATCTTTGGGTCTGCCAAAACAATGAGGTGATCCTAGGGTTGGTTTCGTCAGGAGGAAACCTTCACCCTCTCATCAATGTCAAGGTTATACATCTATTCTTATAATAACAAGAATAAGCCTAAATATAAACTAAGTTAAACATTTCATCTTGCAACCATATATCTAACATCCAGTGAACCATCAGTTTTCTGCTTAACATAAAGAGATGACCATCAAAACTAAAAAATGCCAACAGAATGAAAAAGAAATTCTACTTATGATTGAGCTAGTTGTCTTTTAAAGTAAATAAAGTGAAAATTATACCTTAAAAAAGTAAAGAACCTGGAGTCTTATGGTCAGTAACTCTGTTACAGGGCTAGAATGTTTACAAATCCCTGAAATAAACAGCAAATCTTTGAAAAAAGACTAAAAACAAATAAGCAATCATCAAATATCAAATTCCTTCAACACAATGCTGATTCTTAGAAAAAAACAGTATTTTGTCATACTCTCCAACAATCTACCAACACTTGAAATTGGCATTTTCAAAACTGGTAGTTCACATACCCACAACCATGTGACATCAAACAAAAAGTCTCATACATTTTGTAACATCAACTTACAAAAGTAAAATATAGTGAAACAACATAAAAAAACTAACTTAACCAAACATAAATCTGATCTAGAATCTCAAACTGTGCCAGAGTCTTAGGTCTGAGTCCAACAAACTAATGTCTTCAATACTAATTCAAGAGAAATTCCTTTTCATATTTCCTCACTCTTCATACAGTTTAAGACCCTAAATACCCATCAAGCAGAGGCCAGGAATCATGTTATCAGTGTTTAGACTCCAACATTGTTTACAGGTTACGTTTTAAAATTTGGCCACTTCCCTGCCTAATCTACCTGTCACTAACGAGGATGACCTGGGTTTAGGTTCATGACTGGCCACAGTGAGGCCAGGAAGAGGAGAACCAGTTATAGGAGCACCTCTTAGTTGAGTATCACACAGGGCACAACCTGTTACCGGTGACCCAGTACGGAAACTAGGGGTTGGCCAAATCGAGACCGGGACTGGCTTCGTGCAATACATCCCTGTAAGTGGAGTATCGCTCAAAAAACAAAAATACCTTGTCTATCTTCAGTTCCATGGACATATCAGCTCATGCAAGAACAAATATGAACTCTGAGCTAAGGGGGCCTGACTTACCAGTCTTTCAATAAGGTGGAAAATAATATCTAAATTCAGTGGATCATTTCTACCTAAAGATTTATTGTTCACTGTTGGAGTACTACATCTTTTGATATTCAGTAATGTGAACAGTACTGTAATTCACAAAGCCTTCATTGCCATACATTGGAAAAACAAACCCTTCAATCTGGTTAGTACTAAATGCTTCTGTACAGTGGAATAAACTACATGCAAAGCTTTCCTTTTCATCTAAACATACTTCATATACTCTTATCAATAAAGAGAATGTGGAAATGAATAAATAAATTCTGCAACTCCCATGACTCTTTTTCAAAATATCAACTTATTGCCAATGAAGGTGTTTTATTCATTCAATTAAGTTGTACTCTACACAAGGAAACATCAATAAAACTGTTCAGATGTATACTCATCAAGCTTCCTTATTGTTACTTGTAGAACTGCTCTAAAGTTTTCAATTATTAAAAAGGTAATACATTGATTAGCCCATAAATAACATATAAATAAAACATCATCATCTAAAAATGAATAAAGTCAAATGAACAAATAGTCAAATGAACAACAAGTACATTCACCTTTAGCTCAAAAGTTCATCTCTAAATGCACTTATTTCAACATTTGTTTACACATGACTTCAGATCATGTAAACTTGAAATATATGTACAACTATCCCTAATTAGATGTATGTACACATATATAAAATACATATGCATATACATACATAAAAAAATAAAGGAAGGAATAAATAAATTAATAAAAAATATTCAAATCTGCATTCAAAGACTCTTTACATTATAGGCAGTGATATTAACTGAAATTTGAGTGAATTAGGCCATGTTTTGAATGTGTGTGTGTGTGTGTGTGTGTGTGTGTGTGTGTGTGTGTGTGTGTGTGTGTGTGTGTGTGTGTGTGTGTGTGTGTGTGTGTGTGTGTGTTGTGTGTGTGTGTGTGTGTGTGCGTGTGTGTGTGTGTGTGTGTGTTGTGTGTGTGTGTGTGTGTGTGTGTGTGTGTGTGTGTGTGTGTGTGTGTGTGTGTGTGTGTGGTGTGTGTGTGCGTGTGTGTGTGCCTGTGTGTGTGTGCCTGTGTGTGCGTTGCCTGTGTGTGGTGTGCCTGTGTGTGTGTGTGTGTGTGGTGTGCCTGTGTGTGGTGTGCCTGTGTGTGGTGTGCCTGTGTGTGTGTGCCTGTGTGTGTGTGTGCCTGTGTGTGTGTGCCTGTGTGTGTGTGTGCCTGTGTGTGTGTGTGCCTGTGTGTGTGTGTGCCTGTGTGTGTGTGTGCCTGTGTGTGTGTGCCTGTGTGTGTGTGTGCCTGTGTGTGTGTGTGCCTGTGTGTGTGTGTGCCTGTGTGTGTGTGTGCCTGTGTGTGTGTGTGTGTGTGTGTGT